ATGCATCTCTCAAGGCAATTTATCCATAGTATAGAGTCTGTATACAAACCAAGTTAATCCTAGATGACAGCTGCCTACACCAATGGGTATGACAATTTACCACTACAGGAAGCCTGCCCGTGTTGGGTGTGTGCAGAGCATTCATTGTATATCCCAAAGGTGGTCACAAATTTCCCTCTACACAAAGGGCAAATACTGAATGTGTGTTCTCTTTTGCATTTGAGCAAAGATTTTTCTTTTGATATAGTTCTAGAAAAAAAGGAGTTTCCTATTTAAAGTACTCTGTTGCTAGTGGTCCTCACATAGCTTCAGCCAGCCGCAGTGTTTCTGTAAATACAGTCAAAAGGAAAGCCTAGCATCATGGAAAACCAGATGGGTCCAGAAGCTCTTGCTCAAGTGGAGAGGGGATGTCTGTTCCCCAGGACGAGCTGCGAGAGGTAGTACACAGGGAAGGGAACACAGGTTTCACTGAAGGAGAAAGCCACCTGCTTTGACTCCAGCTGTTCTAGTGTCTAAGAAAGACCATGTCCGTGAACTAAAGGAGAGCTGGTTGTGAAGATCAAAAAGGAACTCATTCTCTTCCTTTAACAGAGAGAAACTACATAAGCCCGGGCAGTTTGATCACATTCAAGGTAGTATTTTATTGTTCGGCCTGTTGCTTGGTTGTCTGATGTTGAGGACTACTGCTGCCCCTCAATTCAGCCACTGTTGTGAAGGGTGTCCTTTTATGGCATAGAAATTGATCTAATGTATAAGGGATAGGTTTTCTTAGAAAGTGTGTCTGCCAGGCGCAGGAGGGCAGGCGTGGAAGGCACTGGAAGTGTAACTATGGATGGAATCAAAGCCAGATGAAAACCATTTTGCAGAATGACTTTAGTGGGTGTTCCAGGAACATAAAGCTGAATCAATGCTAGGAAGCCTAAACATTCAATTTATATAATAACAAGACACAGATGAAGGCAATACTAATTTATTTAGAACCTAAAATGGCATCGATACAACTCAACAGTCATTGCAGCATCCCACGATGGGGTAAATTCTTCAAACATCTTCAGGATCAAAATAGAGCAACGGCTGATATGTCTGAGTTCCAGAGAAGGATAACATTGTTATTTGCCATGGATAAATTTTTGTTCTGTTTTGTGTTGGTCAGAAGACTATGAGACTTAGTTAAAAACTGGCCTATGCAGAGTGCAGGGAATCTTATGAAAAAAGTGGGAGATAGTAAGATCTGGAGAGGACAGGAGCTCCACAAGGACAGCAGCAGATCCCCAAAGTCCGGGCACAGGGGTCTTTTCTGAAACTTATATTCCAACCAAGGACCACTCATGGAGATGGCCTGAAACCCCTGCACGGAGGTAGCCTATGGCAGTTCAGTGTCCAAGTGGGTTCCATAGTAATGGGGACAGGGACTGTCTCTGACATGAGCTGATTGACCTGCTCTTTGCTCACCTCTCCCTGAGAGGGGAACAGCCTTACCAGGAAGACAATGGAGCCACTCCTGATGAGACCTGATAGACTAGGATCAGAGGGAAGGGGAGGAGGACCTGCCCTATCAGTGGACTGGGGGAGGGACATGAGTGGGGAAGAGGGAGGGTGGGGTTGGGAGGGGAGGAGGGATTGAGGTACAGGGGGGACACAAAGTGAATAAACTGTAATTAATAAAAATAAAAATAATCAAATAAAAAAATCCCCTTAAAAAAAACCTGACCCATGGTAAAAGGACAGTATGATGACTAGTAACAGAATCCTAACATTTTATGTCAGGAACTATCACTAGTGAGAAAAGTGGTCATCAGGAGAATGGAATGAGGAAGCTCTGTTGTTGACACCTACTAAGACATCTAAATGTACAGAAGTATCATCAAGAAATGTACCACAATGATAAAGTATGTCAAAGAGAAGTATGGACAACTCTGTCTTCTTCCATGAGAAAGGGAAACACTGTGTTGTGCTGATGGGGTCCTGGATGGCCGTCCTGGAAGTCTCTCTCTAGGATTCCTGGTATACCAGTAATACCAGCACTTAGTAGGCTGAGGCAAGAGGATTATGAATTTAAGACCAGCTTAAATAAAAGTCTTATCTCAAACAACAGCAACAGCAACAATAACAAATATTAGAGCAGGAATCTGGGGTAAGGGATGGGAAGAGTGGGTGGGGGGCAGAGGTCATAGGTGGGGCTTCGGAAGAGTGGTAGCTCTGTCACTATAATTCTGGCAAGGCCAGCATAAAGACCTAAATTTGATCTCCAGAACACATAGGTATGGTGATGCTTGCTTGTAATCCCAGTGCTGGGAAAGTGGAGACAAATAGATTTCTGGGGCTTGCTGGGAAGCCAGCCTAGACTTCTTGTTGAGCTCCAGGCCAGTGAAAGATCCTGTCAAAGGAATAATGGACGGTGCCTGAGAAACCACACCCAAGGTATAGCCTCCTCATGCATGTGCTACACTTGTACACACGTACACCAGAATGCCACTAACACTCTCTCGGTTCTCAAGTCTTTCCCCTCCCCAGCAATACCTACCCATTTTCAGGACTTGAGGAAAGAGCCAAGAAATGTCCTTTTGTTTGTTTATATCTTAAAAAAACTGTTTTATCCAAGTAGCTCTATTTTTATTGTAATAGCAGGGCACGACATAATAAGAAGGCAAATACAAACGTGCTAAGCTTTGGGTAAATTTTGGCGGCTATGTAACCTTCCAGGTTGCCCCTCTGGAAAGCAGTAGTCATACACATTTTAAACTCATCACTCTTGCTGGTTTTTCTTTTTCTTTTTTGACTATTCTATATGTACTGCCATTCCTACAGACCCAAGGGCTTTAGTGACAACAGATCTGCATATCACAAAGGCAAACTTTAACATCTTTTCACTTTTTATTGTTTAATAATTTCATACACGCATGTAATTCATTTTGATTCAATCTACCTCATTTTCTCCTCTAATGTCTTTCCACTGCTTTTTCCTCCCAACTTAATCTATTCTTTCTATGTTTTTTGAAACTCACTGTCTACTTGGCACTGCCTGTATGTACATGGGTGTGGGAGCGTGTCCTGGAGCCCATCAGGAGCTTCACCCCTGGAGAAGCCTGCCTTTCCCTCCCCGAGCAGCCATCAGTTGCCAATGGCTCCTGAGTCAGGGGTGGGGTCTCATGGGCTCCTCCATCCATGTGGAGATGTTGGCTGAGTTGATCCTGTGCAGGTCTTATTCATACAGTCGTAGCTGACGTGAGTTTGTGTGTTCAGCAGTTCTGTTGTGTCCAGGGAATACTGTTTCAGTGTAGATATTAACTCTACTGTTTTAGTGTAGATATTAACCCTGCTTCTTACATGCTTTTAGCCCCAGCTTCACTAATAGCCTTCTCCTTTGCCTCCCTTCATCTTCATAATGGTCTACATTGCTTTTGTAAGCTCAGGTCACACACACGGATGCACGCCATCCCTAAATATAAAATACAGCCTTCTTCAGGCTCTATAAAGTTTCTTGTGCATATGTTTTCGGGGCTGATTACTTGTTATTGGAGAACCTAGTGATGCGTCTTTCCTGGGAAAACTGTTGTTCACATTTTATCATTCCTTAGTTGCTTGTAGTTCTTTGTCTAGGGTTGAGGCCTTATGAGTGTCTCTGTTAGGATGCCTATTGCTGTCATCCTTGTCCAGATTGTCTTGTTGGTGAGAGCTCATAGGTGTAGCTTCTTTGACATTTCTAGGAGACACAGGCTCACAACAAATTTCCCGCTTCTCTGGCTCTTACAATGTTTCCATTCTCTCTTCTGCAACTGATCCCTGAGCCTTACATGCAGGAGTTGTATTGTAGATGTATTAGTAATTGCGGGGCTCTGCAACTCTGCATGTCAATGGCTGTGTTTTTCCGCAACAGCCTCTGCTTGTTGCAAAGAGAAGTGTCCTTGATGAAGGGTGAGACGTATACTCACCTGTGGATAAAATGACGAATATTTAGAATATAGTTAGGCAATATACTGGTTTAGTAAAGCAGTGTTGTCCTCCAAGATCTGTGACTTCACTAGGTAGCTGGCTAGGTTTCCAGAGCCAAGCATAATTTCCCTCCTGTTGAATAGGTCTTGAATTCAATTAGAGAGCTGTTGGTTGCTGTTGAGCTGTGCCTCTATTGCAGGCTTAGGGTTATGGTGCCATGCTGCTGGCGGTTGTGGTTCATCGACATCATGACTGGGTATGACTGGTGAGTGCTTCCCTTCTTTGCAAGCTTGCATGGCATTTCTGGTGCCATGAAAGCTAGTCCTCAGGGAGGAGGCTTTCAAATCAGACCCGGCTCTTGTCCTCTGGGAACTGTGTCTTCAACAATAAGGACTTAGGAAGGTCCAGTTTTAATTGGACTTTTCAGGAACTTCAGACATAAAGTTTCAAATCTAAGTCTGGAGTTTGAGTTGTAGTATGTATTAAGGTCATGTATCTAATAAATAAAATGAAATGCTTCTTGAATCGGATTCTTTATATTTTTTTCTTTGCTCCCAGGGACTTGGTCAGCTTGTACTTTGAGATCAGTTTATAAAGTGATTTAGTGAGTCCTCTTGGTGCACTGGAAAGATGAGCCAAATAGGACATTTGGTAGCATTTGGGGTGCGAGTACCATCTATGCTAAAGATCTGAGCTGGTTGGCATAGTACTTAATTGGGATGGCTAAAGCATGGTATACTTTGGCAAAGCTGCCATTCCCATGGGTCAGCGAAACTTCATTTTTAGTTTAAAACAAGTTGTTCTTTCTATTTCTATTTTAGGAAGATTGAAAGTGGTTGGGATAAATATGAATAAGCTATAAAAATAAATGTCCAAAATTAAACTGCAAAGAGCCACGTACTATTTCTCACATAACAAGATTTAATGAGATTACGACATAAAGTTGGGTGATTAAATCATTCAGCATGTAAAAGGACACAGGAATTTTGAACCTTCAGTTTTGCCCAAAGCATGTGTTTTAGAATAATGCATTCAGGTATAACATATTCTGTATTTTTGTGCCGTAGGCAACTTTTTCCTGCACCTGCGAGGACCAGTACATTGGCACGTTCTGTGAAGAATTTGATGCCTGCCAGAGAAAACCCTGCCAGAATGAGGCGAGCTGTATTGATGCAAATGAGAAGCAGGATGGGAGCAATTTCACTTGCCTTTGCCTTCCTGGTAAGATTTACTTAGTCAGTCGTCAGCGGTTGTCTCTCTGGAGATCGTGTATGCGTCAGGTATGGGTGGGCAAACAATACCTTGTCCAGCTGCTGGACAAGGGGCTCTCATTTGAACTTACCAGGCTGCATATACTTAAGGACTGGAGAAAGTGCACATGGGCTGAATATTAAAATAAAATATCAGAATTTCATAGTACCGTACTTATCAACAGCTGTAAGTTGTTTTAATGCATGGCCTTTTGACAAGGCAGTTGTGCTATTTTTCTGAATATTATGTCTCGCCCCCTCCCCCAGATTTCCAAGGAATGTCCTGTTTCACATCTGGGTGTCACTGCGTGCTGTTCACAGCTTAAGCAGGCTTCAAAATGAACCGAATGGCCTTGCTGGCTTGCACATCATGCTGTGAGGTCCCTTTTTCGGAGGTGTGTTACCTGCTTGAGGTTGTTTAGCTACAGGGGACTCATCCCGTGGAAGCTTGCTATTTAGTGGGATTTCAGAACATGTCGCGGAAGCTATTTAAAAGCTTTAAAGAATTCTTGATACTGTCATATATGCATATAATGAGAGATGATTGTATATGTCTTCCCCTCCCGCCCACCCTCCCCATTCCCCTGGGATCTCCCTCCACATGCTCACTTCCCAACTACGGATTCTTTAACGTGCTGTGAAAAATAGTTCACTAAGTGCAGTCAGTCTGCCCATTGCCACACGTGAGCGGGGCCAACCACATGAGCTGGGAAAACCACCAGTGGTTGCATCTTCAACAAAATGAACGAGTCTCCTTTCCCAGCAGCTCTCAATGCCAACAGCCCCCTCAGCTAGGCCTGTGACCTCACTAGGAGACAGGCTGGCTTGGTTTGGTGAAGGTTTTGTGTGTGCAGCCAGTTATGGCTCGTGAGATTTTTCTTTTTGATTCGCAGGCAATCTAGAGGTTATGAATATAGTGGATTAGAGTTTGAGTTGATTCAATAACAAGCACTTGACTTTTTTGGTTTTCACTTGATTTTTTAAAACAATAACTTGTAAGCAGGACTTTTCCACTTACTGAGAAAAGTCATGGTTTTAAGAAAAGCCATGCACATCTCTGAACAATATAAAATGAGTTCCATATTACTGTTCAAATTTGTATTTTGAGAAAAAAATGTTATTAGCATGTATGATTGATATCTCTCTTGAAACGGGCAATGTTTTCAGCAAGAGGGCCATGGAAGATATCAAATACTGCAGGAGAATCTAACAGGAGGTTTCTGAATTTGAAATGAATTGAATCAGGCTTTTACTAAGTTCTTGGTAATCTCTCATTGTCTGGTTTCAATGTGGGCCTTGTGATTTGAACTGATAAGTCAGTTCTCTTTGGGTCTTAGGCCTGCCTAGCTCTGGGAAAAGAACACATACAACTCTCTCCATTGTGCCAAGCCCCTTGTTTTGGTAGCAGGAAGGAAATACATGACTAAAATGAAATTTAACTTTTTAAAACCAAGCTTTAGTTTATTAAATCTTTTTGATATCAAGAATATAGATTTTTTTTCCACAAAGGAACCATTTTTTTTCCTGAAAAGAATAGCTGTGATACACATTCACAACTGTCACTGCCAAAATATTATTAGCATCTTGCAAAAGATTTCCATACTGCTTCAGAGCACCACATAGTTCTGACTAATTGGTGATATTTAGCCTATTTTTAAGAACTCATCATTGCTGAGGTAAGCGTAGCATGTTGGACCATCTCCTTTACCTTGAAAACACTGAAGGCTGGATGGTCAGTGCTTGTAGCTCCTTCTGGGGACGACTTCCAGCATCTACCACAGTTGTGGGTTCTTACCACAACTCAAGGAGTGTGTGTAGGTGGATCATGGTGCTGTGTTTGAAGATGGTCGATTCAGTGTTGTAGGCTGGAAGACATTCAGATCGTTCCTCTATATGTGTGAAGTCTGGAGGCTAAAGGACACATTCAAGTTCACAAGGCCTGTGGGAGAAACTGAGGCAAAACCCCATCAGGCTGTGCCCATTTGTGAGTCAGAGAGCTTTTCTCTGCATACCAATGGGGCCTTTCTGACTTACTGGTTATGTGACCCTCCTAACCTTCCTTAAAGCCCTGGCAGGTCTTCACATCTTTAAAATAAAGGTTTATGCGAGAATCATCCATTCATCCAACAGTTATTGAGCAAATGCTTGCAATATGTCAGGTGTTCTCTGGGTTCCGTGGATATAACCGTTAAAGTCTTTGTGCACCCTGAAGTCATAGTTTAGGGTGGAGATGGCTAAGCCGCATGCATGCATGTATATATGTGTGTGCTATGGTGTCTGTATGTGCATGCATGTATATATGTGTGTGCTATGGTATCTGTGCATGCATGTATATATGTGTGTGCTATGGTATCTGTATGTGCATGCATGTATATATGTGTGTGCTATGGCATCTGTATATGCATGCATGTATATATGTGTGTGCTATGGCATCTGTATGTGCATGCATGTATATATGTGTGTGCTATGGTGTCTGTATGTGCATGCATGTATATATGTGTGTGCTATGGT